TCTTTCCACGATACTTAGGAAGACCGCGCCAGATTCAAAGGGCTGGATTATTCACTCAGGTGCGGCAGTAAGATCAGCTGCCCCACTCGATGCTACCGGCTCCTCTCTCAGACCTCGGGTTGTAAACGGATTTCTACCTTCTCATCCCTCAGACCTCGGGTTGTAAACGGATTTCTACCTTCTCATCCCTCAGACCTCGGCTTGTAAACGGATTTCTACCTTCTCATCCCCAGACCTCGGCTTGTAAACGGATTTCTACCTTCTCCTCTCTCAGACCTCGGCTTGGACAAACGGACTTCCTTTCTCTCACTACTAAACTGCAGTTTGTTAAAAGAGACTCCTTCCTTTTCCTCCATTGCGTGAATTAACCCTTCCAGTGCCAGAGTGCTTCTAAGTTAAGTAAATCTCTTGTCAAGGAAAGCAAGTCATATCAATTATTATAGTATTTAATTTCTCTAAACTCTCTGTTGACAAATAAGCATTGCATTTTTTCCTTGCATGTGTATTTAAAGATACAGTCTACCTTGTTCACTTCAATAAAATAAAGGAGGTGAAACTTATTGTTTCTGCAGTTGAGTTCCAATTAAAGAGACATTACACAAAAGCCTCACAGAATAATCCAGCCAATTCAATGGAACCAGCAGATATTAACTCTCAAGTTTCTGCCCTAACCAATAGAGTAGATACAATTGCTCAAGGGTTACAGGAATTGCAAATTACAAATGAGAGAATATTAACCTATGTTAGAGACATGCAAGGCCATCTTCCTCATGCCGCTCTTCAATCGGCTGGTGATCCTGCTGTCTGTAATCCAGAAAAATTTTATGGAGATAGAACAAAGTACAGAGAGTTTTTAAATTCTTGCAAACTTCTGATAGCTTTGAAACCTCGATCTTACCTCACTGAAAGGTCAAAAGTTTGTTCAGTAATTTCCTTTCTAAGAGGTGAACCTATGGCTTGGGCCCATTCCTTTTTAGAGAATGATGATCCCATACTAGATTCACTGGATGAATTTTTTGAAGCTATGTCTTTATTATATGAAGATCCATATAAACAGGCTACTGCTGATTTAACCATCAGAACTCTCCACCAAAAGAACAGACCTGTTGAAGATTACATCGCCGAATTTAAAAGATGGGCTACCGAAACCCAATGGAATGACATCACACTACGCAATCAATACCGTCTCGGATTATCAAAAGCTGTGAAAGATGAACTCTCTCGTATTGAACTTCCTCCCACCTTAAATGCCTTGATTCAACTTTCCATTAGTATTGACAGACGTCTAAGAGAAAGAAGGGCTGAAAAAGTTCTTACTACGTCTAACTGGAGAAAACATTTTACTACTCCAAAATTTCCTGAAAAATCTCTTCCTCACAATGAACCTATGGAAGTTGGTATAATAAGAAGCCCTCTTACTTCGGAAGAAAGGATAAGAAGGAGACAACTAAATTTGTGCATGTATTGTGCTTCAAAAGAACATCTAATCCCAGAATGTCCCCTACTAATCCATTCGAAAGCTGGTAAGCTTCATTCATCTACTTCTATATTGAACGTTCTTCACAAAAAGGAAAACATCTACTTATTTTTCTATATCTCTCATATTACAGTGGGATACAAAAAGAATCGTGACTGAAGCCATTATTGATTCTGGTGCTAATGGAACCTTCCTTGATTTTTCTTTTGTTGCAAAGAATAAAATTCTGTGTGTTCGAAAAACCAATTTTATTCCAATCAGAGTTATTGATGGTTCATTCATATCCTCAGGACCCATAAAAGATGAGACAATTCCTCTAAGAATGATTACCAATAACGTACATACAGAATTCCTTACATTTGATGTTATTAAATCTCCACTTTATCCCGTCATTCTAGGAATTAATTGGTTAAAAACTCATGATCCTTTAATTAAATGGTCACCCTTTTCCATTTCTTTTCCTTCTGACTTTTGCAAAAAAACCTGCTTCCAACATATTCCTATTCTCCAAACTACTCAGGAATCAATTATACCTCCATTCTACTCTGACTTTTCAGATGTCTTTTGTAAAAAAAGAAGCGGAAACACTTCCACCTCATCGAGCATATGATTGCCCAATAGATCTAATACCTGGTGCTCCCATTCCTTATGGACACATTTATCCACTTTCTGAAAAGGAATTACAGACCTTAAAAGAATATCTTAATGAAAATTTACGTAAAGGATTCATCAGACCCTCGACTTCACCGGCTGCCTCTAGTATATTTTTTGTGAGGAATAAGGACCAAACCATCCGACCTATTATAGATTACAGAGCCTTAAATAAAATAACCATAAAAAATCGTTATCCTTTTCCACTAATAAATGAATTAATTGAAAGGTTAAGAACCGCAACTATATTCACTAAACTCGACCTCCGAGGCACATATAACCTCATCAGAATAAAACAGGATGATAAATGGAAGACCGCCTTCCGGACTAGATATGGTCTCTACGAATATCTAGTGATGCCTTTTGGGCTTTGTAATGCCCCTGCAACATTCCAACATTTTATAAATGATATCTTTAGAGATCTTTTGGATGTTTGTGTTATTATCTACTTAGATGATATTCTAATATATTCTAACAATTTGGATGAGCATAGGAAGCATGTAAGATGGGTTCTATCTAGATTGAGAACTCACAAATTATACGCTAAACCAGAGAAATGTTTTTTTGAAGTTACTGAACTCTCCTTTCTTGGATACATTATTTCACCTCATTCTCTGAAAATGGATAACTCTAAAATCAAATGTATTATTAACTGGCCCGTTCCTACTACTACAAAAGAATTGCAACGATTTCTTGGATTTGCAAACTTCTATAGAAAATTCATTAGAAACTACTCAGAGGTATCACATCCACTTAACCACCTTAACAGTACTAAACGTCCTTTCAAATGGAATAAAGATGCACAAGCTGCCTTCGATAGTTTAAAAAAAAGATTTACAACTGCACCTATTCTACAGCTACCTAATCCAGCATTCTTGTATGTCCTAGAAGTCGATGCATCAGATTCAGCTATCGGAGCAGTTCTTTCTCAGCAAAAGACTCCTCAAGATCCACTTCATCCAGTCGCATTCTTTTCAAGATCCTTGAGCTCTGCTGAAAAAAATTATCCTATTGGTGAAAAGGAATTATTAAGTGTTTAAGCTGCCTTTGAAAATTGGCGCCATCTATTAGAAGATACAAAACAACCTATCATAGTCTATACAGACCATAAAAATCTTGAATATCTTTATACTAATAAAACCCTTACGGCTAGACAAGTTAGATGGAACCTATTTTTTAACCGGTTTAACTTTCAATTAATATACAGACCTGGAACTAGAAATAAAAAGGCTGACGCTCTTTCTCGAATTCCTTCTAAAACTTCTATTGATGTTTATCCTCCTAACAAAATAATAGGGATCCTCTCTTCTCTTCAGGCTGACTTAAGGAACTTGAATCAAAAGGATCTTGAACTTCCCAAAACACCTAATTTAACAAAAAAGGATGGTATATTTTACTTTAAAAATAGGATTTATATTCCTCCCATTCTTAGGAACAAATTACTCAAAATGGTTCATGATTCACCCCTAGCTGGACATCCTGGAATAAAGAAAACTCTTGAACTAACTTCACGATATTATTGGTGGCCTCGCCAAGATAGAACCATTGAATTATATGTCAAAACTTGTTCTATCTGTCAAAGGTCCAAATCTGAACATAATCAACCTTTTGGATTACTACTTAACTTACCTATTCCAGAAAAACCTTGGCAATCCATTTCTATGGATTTTCTTGTTGACCTTCCTCCATCCCGACAGTTCACCACTATTCTTGTTGTTGTGGACCACTTCACTAAAATGTCCCATTTCATCTCTTTAAAAAAATTACCCTCCTCCGTAGAATTGTCCAAAGTCTTTATTGATAATATTGTAAAGCTTCATGGTCTTCCAGAAGAAATTATTTCTGATAGGGGGACACAATTTACCTCCAAATTCTGGAAAGAGATGTGTCTCTCTCTTCAAATTCAGCGCAAACTCTCTTCTGCCTATCATCCCCAGACTAATGGGCAAACAGAGAGAGTTAATCAATGTTTGGAACAATATCTCCGATGTTATTGTTCATACCTGCAAGATGACTGGACCACTTGGTTACCTATGGCTGAATTTTCTTACAATAATACCATTCATTCTAGTACGAAAATGACTCCTTTTTTTTCCAACTATGGATTTCATCCGTCCTCATTTCCCATCCCATCTAATTCTTCATCCAATCCCACGGTTACTTCAAAAAATGAATTTATGTCTTCTCTATTCCTTAAATTACGGGAGAATCTTCAACTCGCCCAAAACTACCAGAAAAAGTTTTTTGACCATAATAGAAGAATTCTCCCTCCTTATAAAGTGGGGGATCTTGTCTGGCTCTCTTCAAAAAATATTACCACAAACCGTCCTTCAAAGAAATTGAGCTCTCTTTTTCTTGGTCCTTTTCAAATAATCACAATCATCAATGATAACGTTGTTAAATTAAAACTTCCTCCAAGTTTTAAACTTCATCCAGTATTCCATGTCTCTTTGCTTAAACCACACATCCCTGATCCTTTTCATAGAGAAATAGTAACAACTCCTGAACCTATCATCGTCCAAGGTGAAGAAGAATATGAAATTCATAAGATTTTGGATTCTCGTATCCACCGTGGCTCTTTACAATACCTTATCAGATGGAAAGGTTATGGAGTTGATGAAGATACCTGGGAAGATTCATCTAATGTTCATGCAAAGAGATTAGTTGATGCTTTTCACAAACGCTACTCCTCTAAACCGAAATAAGTGCACCCAGAGGATGCCCCATGAGAAAGGGGTACTGTCAGGTATACCTAACATTCATGCTGCCGCC